CAATTGCAACACCGCTCCAAAGCCATAGAGCGATTGCTGCTGCCTGCAGACGGGAATCGATCGGCGCCGGCTGCCTGCGTTTTGAGAGAGTATAGGGGAATAGGAGGGTACGTGTTACTTAACATAGTCCCTATCGCTAATGTTTTGGGGAGGGGGGGATTTGGAAAAATATGAGGGTATCAAATTGTGTGAAGGAAGCGCCTTCCCTCCCTTTATCGCATGCTCTTTCAAAAAAGCGGCTGAAGCCTCTATTCCCGTCTGCGGACTGCGTTTGCGTCTGAAGCATTACACCCCGTTGCAGCGGTAGAGAGCCGACGCGTACTGCAGCGAATTGTCGCGCGTTACAGCGCGTCGACGCGCGTCATCGCGAAATATGAATGCTGCCTGTTCAAATTTAACAAACCTTCATCGCGCTCGTTATGGGCGATGACAGCTGCGCGAGATAAGGCCTTCGCTGTAGGAGATAAAACATCACTCATTTTCCCATCAGCCATCCAACTCAAGTTGCGTACCAATCCCGCATAAACCTAAACATTACCTATATCACAAGAGCCCGAACTCTAAAACAAATATCAACTGTAGTATTCCTGTCGTACTATATCGCCCGCCATCGTAGCACATTCCGCGATAGTCGACTGACCGAAATGGGGGCGGAGACCCGCAACAACTGCGCCTTACTGGCGCACCTCTTTAGCAGAGACGGACCAGTGGAGACACAGTAGTTGCTAGTCTCCAGCCACCCGATTACACTTGTTTATGGAACACTCTTCTAGTTTTTCAGTCTTGTTATTGCTTCCATCTTTACCACAAGAATGCGGAACTATAGGCAAAAGTATTGATCCAAGGCGGACTCGTACCAGCAACTCGTTCTTTCCGGATGAGTGCGCTTATCCGTTACGCCATCAGGGTCTCTCTAACCTTCCCTGCTCAATGGGTTCTATGTTGTATTTATTTTTTCGCAGATTACGAACTGCGAAGGGAAGCAGGTGCATGGCTCATCACATCACTCGCGAATTTTTCAGTAATCACCTCCAATGCACTGAGCATTTGCCTCAGTTGTCAAAATCACTACGTAAAAAAAGAACGTGAGTTGCGTTAGCACCTATGATTCATCACAATCTCAACGGCGTACGGCAGGAATTAATCACTAGCTGAGGAAGACAATGGGTGATACTCTTTCCCATCTCAATCTCATTGCTCCCATGCCGTTTCTTACTTCAGCCCGAATTAATCACTCACGATAGATCACGAGGGCAAATACTGTGATAATTACTGGTACAATAATTACAATGAATTTATATTATGCTATACATCCTTAGATGGAAATGACGAAGCTTTAGCGAGTTGCCAGTTTCCCTTTCGGGATGCGCCACGCATTCCCTTTCATCGAAAATGGGAAAGTGGTTCTTGAATGCGTTTAGCCAAACAATGACCTGTGGGGGACCTCATGTAAAACTGACACTATTTATTCAACCCCGGAGGAAAGGAAGACTTTGTTGGCTCCGGCAAGATTTGAACCAAGTTCAAACTACCGGACTATTCGCGCGGCAACGGCGCCACATGTCATGACGCCGTCGCCTGCTAAAAGACCTTGTGCAGTACTGTTTTTCCACTGCTACAAATTGACTCTTAAACCCATACAACAATCTCTGCGATGTCAAGAGAACCAGAACGAGGATCTTCCTCACCTAATGAATGAAATGGAATTCCCACCAGGGCACTTCCTGCCATTGGGGAGTGGGAGGAAGGGCGCGAGCGCCGGTGAGGGGAGGAAAGAATTTGCAAAATATTAACCCCCACCTCGGAATTTCTCGTTCGCCACCACTCATTCGCCTACCATGCTCCGGAGTTTCTCCCACTTCTCACCATTTCCCCAGATTTTCCCAAAGTTTCGCTATTTCCCCACCCCCAAAGAGCCGTCGGGAGAAGGAGCTGGGGTGGGACTGCAGATTAAAGGCACATTCCGCGATAAAATAAGGCTATGACCTCTCAAATGTGTCGGACGATCCGGAAGGCGCGTAACTAATTAGGCCCATGGACACCCCTTAGGCCCATGCCGACCCTCACCGGCTGCTAGCTACTAGCTAGTAGCCACTATGTTATCTTTCTCTATAACATTTCGGACTGCTTTTTCTGCTGCTTTTCTCCGCTAATCAGATACTTAGCACTTTTTTGTGCCTATTTGAGTTCCGTTTCCCGCAATTTGCGGTCGCGAACTGTGCCTTTAAGCTGGACGGATTTTATATTGCGCACGTGAAACGGGAAAAAAACGAGGGAAGCCAACAACCGAAAACATTCCTCTCGTAGCAAGAACCACCACCCCCCCCATAGCTTTAGCGACCAAATATGACTCCCTCGCTCCCATCATACGACGTGCCCTGCTTCGCCCCATGCGCAGAAGGGGAGACCTGGTGATCTCTTTGATTTGCTCCAAAACACAGTCTGTACGCCCTCCTGAGATTATTTTTTTGGATTTTGGCTTTTTAAATTGTTCGCATTCGTTTATTTCATTCCTTCTCCATTTTTCTTTACATACACTTTTCATTCATTCTTCATCGTGTCATCCACTGAATTGATCTGCTTCGTTTTTCGAGTCATGATGTGGCAATAAAAAAATAAATAAAACTTCTGATAATTCATAAGATCAGTGAAGATAAGGCGCTGCTGAACGACAAGTTGCAGCTGAAAAAGAGACTGATGGTTTGGGATTGCTTTTGCAGCTGCGCATAACCATCATTCATAACTACAACTTTAATGACAGGCGAAACCCTCTTATCCACCCTCATGAGCCATTTCGCCTAAAACATCGGTCATATAAATTCGCCACATATCGCCCCTGACGATGCCGCCAACGTTTGCGAATTCGAGGTCAAATTTCAATTACAATCGTTTACTGCGCGCTTAAATCTGATCACTTTCAACGATATTCTCGCTACTTCTTCCTCCGCCTTCAACCCATTTTACAGACATTCCGAATCAGCACTGAATCCCTTTGGGAGCGTCCTTCCAGCTGGGCTATTTAGCTTTAAGAATCCTTACTTTTAAATGCTAATTTTGCATTCATCACAGATATATCCAAAAAAGCATATCCTCAACCTAGCGAAACTTGCAACATTCACGTACCAACACAACTGCTTCTTCTTCCTCTTCTCCTTGAAGAGAAGCTGTAAACTCACCTTCGTGAATCCTGGTCCTTACTGTGAATGGGGGAATGGGTCCGCAGCTGCAGATGCGCGTCTTATTTCAAAAGAGCACGGTAACGGGGGTAGCGGTACCCCGATACTGTTTCCATGTCCCGTCCGCGCTGCCATGCGTACAGTCACACGCCTAATCATAGTCAAACGCGCTACTTATCTGCGCTCTCCCGCGTCTGACTTTCCCTTCTGGACAAGTTGCGCTGGTTGTGCTACGGACCTCAGAACACAGCGCAAGTGCCTCCTTAGCAGGATAGCGGGCGGGGTGAGTTTTACTAGACGGCATCGGGGTACCACTGACAAGCCGAGCTCTCGTTCCTGGTGCGCCTTTCAGCGGGAAGAAGTGCACGCTTTACTGCTAGCGTCATATTCGAGCCTCGCAATATGGCGGCACCAGGATCACACGGAGGTGAAAGAGGCCAGTGTGTGGGCGTGTGTGAGGTGTTGTCCCTCTGTTCAGCAAAGTCCGCTCTCTTGGAGCACTTCTCCCAGGGAACCACCTGCCTGGGAAACCTTTACAAAACAAGAGTGTGCGAGGAGGAAGGCGTGGTGTGAGTGAGGCGAGGAGGCCCTTCCCGTCCACTCACCAATCCTCCCTGATTTCCCAAATTCTTTTATCGTGGAGAGGTCCCCAGTTTTCTCCCAAACAAGATTGCGGCTCAAGGGCGACGGCAATCAGGGGCGGGGCAGGGTTACAGCTGTCAAGTGAAATGCAATGAAACGGGAAAGCTCTCGAAAACTCAGTTGTTACAGGTTCCACGAGAGGCAAGCATGACCCCTTCCCTCGGCTGAGCACTATATGCAACCCCCTCGGCTGGGCGATCGCCACACTGTTGAAGTGCGGCGCGGTGCGCGGAGTGAGAAGCGTTGAGGTGGACTGTCCCTCCGTATAAGAAGTCCGGCACGCCCTGCCACAGTCGCCCAAACACCTCGGAAACACCCGAAATCACCCAAAATCGGTCTAACATGGAATAGGCCGGCCTCCTCGGAGAGTGGAGTGTGAGTGCGCGCGCTTAGATAACGCCTGAAAGCGACAGGTGCGGTGGCCGGAGTGCCGGGCATCAACTTTGCGAATACGATACATTTCAGGAGGGGCGAACCTTACCCTCTAACACAATTTTTCAGGCCGAATCTTACACACGGTAGTGGAAGTGGTGTGGGATCGAAAATTTGGCGTGAATCGAAGCGGCCTGAGGGCAATAAGGGTGAAACGTTGTGTGTTTTTTCATCTGCTTCACGCTAACTTCTGCCTTGCAGAATGAGACGCAATGAGGCGATTATTAAATTCAAGAACTCCCATAGTTCGGTTAACTCGTCCATTTTCACACCCGAGCATGGGGTCTTATTTAGGGCGTTTTTAGCGTTTGTTTTTTTTCTCAATTGTCGTTTCACTTAGCACAGAATCTAATGGTCCTGAGCCCTACAACCTGCAAAAAGAATTGCAGGCACTGTCTTCGAGCATATATAGCTTGGAATCCACGAAGATTCCCCCCATTTGCTGTTTGTCTTCATTATTTACGCCGAAACCCCCCTACTAGCAGGTCTCGGCCTGAGCGCGGATAATTCAGTTAAGTGTAACACTGCAGTCAACTTGCGCACATTGACAATGCCGCCATAACAGCTGGAAACCACGCCCTGGCCATTCGTTCACAACACGGCTGGCATCGCTCAGCAACGCATTCCGAAAGGCTATGAATGTCCCCATGAGGCCAATTACACCATCTGCAATAGTTAACACACTTCTCGTAACTCATGGGCTCCCAGAGATCATTGCTACGCGAAGACAGACGACCATTTCCGTCTTTTCTAGCCCCTTTCTCCCCGCCTTGTAAACAACAATATCGCCGAGAACGATGGCGACGACAAGAAAACGAACGCCTCACAGCCGCGCATAACCTTGAATAGCATACGATAGCTAAATTATAGAATAGGAAATGCGAAAGGCTGCCGATGGCCGACCGTGACCTATTTTCTCGCTGCCTGATGCAAACAACTGAGAGGTTCAATGAAAAGATCTTGAAATGGACGAGTCGCTAGCGAGTAAAACCATCAACGACAGAAAAACAAACCTGCGCCAAATTCCTTGCTTCGTTCAGTATTCTTACAACTGTCGGTATGAATCCTGAGTAGAAACACAGACGACGTTTACTCGCTGCATGACCATATGTCAGATTGGTGAGGGCATTGGCAATCAGCTTTCGAAGCGAGCGATGTTCGTTCCGAGGGGGGAACTCGAACACGGTCAGTTCTAGGACCAGCAACTCGGCCAAACTTTCGACAAGGCCTGGAAAGTAAGACCGATTTCCAGGCAAAAATCAGCGCTGTTCGGCTTAGAGGGGGCCTTTAGCAGTTCCTGTAGTCCTTTTTCATGGATCATGTTAGCTAATAGGACTTACTTTGGTCAGACCTGTAAACTCCTGTTGAAGTCTGCGAAAACTGTTACTTAGCGAGCAGATCCCTACATGGAGTTTACAGGTATTCACGAGATGGTCTTTACAAGTTTAGCAAAGTACCATTTGGCGTCCCCTCGAAGCCGAACTGTGCCCAAAACTCGAATAATTTTTTGCAGAGCCAAGACTTAAACGCACTTACCCAGAATAATAGCTACTTTCCGGTATTCTTCATCGAACGATTCCTTTACAATACAATCCAGAGCGCTAAACAATCTCGGATAGTATGATGGAGCTGGCACTGAGTTATGAGGAAGCCGTCGTAGATAGAAAATCTGAATAAACTAATTAAAATGACACTATTCACCCTCCCCGCCCCCTCTTCTGCCCCATTTCCCAAAATTCAGGCTAAATTTCGATCAGAGTTGTTCTTCCGGGTAGATTTTTGGATAAAATTAGTACGGCCTCATGGCTAGTTCCACCTCTGAACGAATACTGCCTACGTCTGGCGCTCACGCTACAGATTAGAGCCTTTTCTTGCCAAGCAAGACTTGGGGCCAAGTTCGGCGACGAAGGGGGGGGGGGGCGGGCGCATTTTTGCACTTTTGCTACTTCCCTTCGAGTCTAAGCCCTCTACGGAGAAGCCGTTTTCGTATTCGTAAGCTCACAACAGTTAACAGGTTTCACCCGGGTGTACTTGTAAACCGGATCTAGTGAAGCAGCAAAAGTGCAAAATGTCCCCCACCCCGTCGCCGAACTGCACCAATATTTATTTGCAGAGGGTAAAACCACCCTAAGGAGGGCAAAGATTTTCACCCGGATCTTCTTCCGAGAGAAAACCTCGACCAAACTTCACCAGCACTTTTTGAGGACACCGTTTACTCACTGATTACAACGAAAAACTATAAACAGAGGGTAAATGGTGCCCTCACGTGCAACAGGATGATCCGAGAGACCTGCACCCTCCAATATGAACCTTCATAATAAACCAACCTGCTCGCGCACACAATTTGACGGTGGCAATGCCCTTCGTAGACGCCGCCTTCTGAAAAACCGTTGAATATCATTGGCGAAGTCTATTGAAAATTTCACAGATGATTGACAGTTTAGAAAGGAGAGGCTTTCGGGGAGCATCACGTCGGCCAATGGGTCTTTAGAAGTTTTTGTGTATTTCATGAGGTGACCTCCAAACAGTCATTTTATTTCCATTCACCTTCACGCCGAAGGACGCTCATAATTACTGAATGGGCTTATTCACAGGGGCATATGAAGAAGGGTGACCGAAAAAGTGCACAGAAATCTCTTATCGCCCATTTCACACCGATCACTACTGAAAGTGATAATTCATGGAGTGATTCAAGAAGGAAAACGGGGGCAGTTCGGCGACGGGGTGGGGGGGGGGCATTTTGCACTTTTGCTACTTCCCATCGACGTGTCGAGCCATCTAGAGAGCTATTTCATGAGCTTACAAGAGTTGACAGGTTTTATCATGGTAGCTCGACGAGCTTGCTCCAGCTTCACAAGAGTTCACAGGTTTCACCAGAGTGAACTTGCAAACCGGAACTAGCGAAGCAGCGAAAGTGCAAAATGCCCCCCTCCCCGTCGAACTGCGCCCAAAAAGAAATGGAATAAAGGGAAAAATACAAAAGTGTATACGAGTCCACAGTTGAACTGGAAACAGGCCACCTTCAACCTTGGGCCCTGGGGGCAAGAGGGAGCTCTCTGAGGTGGGAAATCACATTTTGGGCGATAGCTAAACCCAGAGTTGGTTCACCCAACTGAAGCACCTCCCGACACGCAGATCATCACACTGCGGATCCCTGCCACGCCTGCTCCCAGACCTACCTTGCATCATCTTGGTCCTGCATGATGACAGCATGTATTCGTTGATGGGTTATTCGGAGCAAATCATCGTCCTCGTCACTTGTTCGTCGATGCCGAACTTCTTCCAAATTCAGTGAAGCCAATAGGCTAACAATTGTCGGTTCAACATCAACAACCTGAAATATTCAATCTAGCGCTTTTTTCCTAGGTCCTTATTGAGAGCACCTACCTCTTCATCATAATAAGCATGTGCTGCTGAAGAAGATGGCATCTGCCCTGGGCTATCATCGAGATCGTCGTCACTCATGGTAACGACTTAGGGCCCTGAAAAAGCTCCTATAAAACTTTGATGGTATTTGATGGTTCAGAAAACAACGAGCGATACCGTTAGCCTGGGCGAGAGCTGAGAAATCGGGCCATCGCTGGCACGGGACCCTGACAGAAGCAATGTAGGAACGCTTATTTTCAGGTATTTCCAGGAGAAACCGATCTTAGCGAGGAGAAGATGACCTTGACGTGAGAAATCGCGAACCGCGCGACCTTTCGCTGCGGTTTCGGGCTCGCCAAGGAGCGAGAGCCGCCTGCATTCTCACTTTCCCCGCTACCAGCGCATGTACCCCCTCAACTTTCGCTCCCTTGAACATGCTGCAGTACAACTCATCACAGCTTATGAGACTCTCTACAATGCCAGTACTAGCCAATCGACCGATCAACTTCATCCACGATCTAGTCCCGATTCGCAACCATCACGAAATCTAATCAGGCCGACACCCGTTCGTCTGGCTGCAGTTCCCGTAAAAGATGAGGTCCCTCTGGACCTATCGGCTCAAAATCGCCAAACTGTCATACATAATGGCGGCCAATCTCAGAGGACAACCAATGGTGATTCACAACCTCTTTTGCCGTCTCGTATTGATGGGAAAATAAACGCCGAATGGATTGCACTCAAACTTGCTGCATCTGCTGGCAGCAATCGAATGTCATATCCTAGGGAATTCAAGCTCATGGTTATTGACTACTATCAAAGAAATGGCCAGAACAAGTACCGTACCTGTAAGGAATTTCAAATCACAAAATCTATGCTCAACGGATGGCTATCGAAGGTATGTCTTTCCACGTGTTCTCATAGCTTCACTCAGAAAAGCTCAGTCATCACAAAAGGGCGCAGTTCGGCCTGGAGAGGGCATTCTGCTGGTTCTCACCAATTATTGTCATGCCTTCTGTAGAGACCTGTACTGTTTCTTGTAGTAAAGCTATGTAAACGCATGAGCTTCTTAACTTTTGACAGGGCTGTACAAGTCCAACCAGTGTGAGACATGGCATTTAACATGAACCAGCAAAAAAAGACTAGCGAAAATGCAGGATACCCCTCTAAGCCGAACAGCGCCAAATAAGGATAGGAAAACGTTTGTATCCCTACAAACTTAGCATTGCTATCTCGGCAGCTGGCCAATTCTGATCCTTCTGCCAAACGAGGTTGCTAGAGAGCATTTTTTTCTGACCTTCCTTCTGATTTCCACTTTCTCCTGAGCCCCAGGGCGCCGTACTGCTAGCGTTTGGCCCTGACTAATAACACATACATTAGTACTAGCATGAGGTTATGCCCTACACCAACGGTAGAAACTTGGGAGTCTGAAGAAGACAAAACGGAAGGCCGAATATGAGGCCCGTCTAATAATCTTGCTGAACAGAAAGGGAACCACAACTTCCTCTCTGTTTTGTTTATGCTTTGGAACATATATCTTTAAATTAAATTAGAACTAGAAGGTGATAAAACCATTTCTGACGCTGTTTGGCGTGGGAGGGGCTTCTGCTAGTTCCTTTTGCTATTTCATGTTAAGCAACGTGTCTCATTTTGATGAGATCTGCAAACTTGTGTAAAGCTATGGAATGGTACAAGTGAGCCGCTCTGGTTACAAAAATTTACAGCTCTTCACGATTTTGCTGGCTTTTGCCGTGCAGGCTTCGCTGAGTACTGTTTTGTGCCCCAACCAAGCTTCGCTGAGCTCAATTTCATTTCCGACTGATTCCTGCCAACAGCCTCTATTCCCCTCTTTTTGTTATCTCTTGTCATTACGAGTTGCAGACGACCAAGGGAGGCCCTGGCCCGGGGGGAAAGGGATTTATGCTAAACAGACCGCCTTATAGCCATCGATTTAATAACCGCGATTTGCGCGTTACGCACGCACGTGGTCCAGAGATTCCCCACTGGACAGCTGTTAGGAGCCAACCAAAACCGTCCATTCCCTGCGGATGGTAAACTTTGTGCCAGATTCGTCTGCAAGGATAAAAACACTAACACCATGTGTTCCACATCCCAAAAAAGGATTTGTTACGCAGCGTTCAGACTTCGCGATGGCAGCACTTCATATCGCTAAATTGTCGCGATCGAGTGTCGTATGCGCATCGATCGCGCGGCCGAAGCGCCGCCGTCGCGAAGTCTGAACGCTGCCTTAACGTCAGAGACTTTATCCTTTCTGTATTCGCACTAAAACGTCCAATTAGTTTTTGGTCTCAGCAGCTAAGGACACAAGATAAAAATCAAAGGTATCCGCTCGTCGAATAGTCCCCTTTTTAGATGGCGCACGTATTAACTACTCGTTCTCAAAATCTAAAGTGGCTCGCTGAATGTAATGAGGCCTCCTCTATGACTTGGGCGACCAGATGATGTACATTTCAGTGTTTTTATCCTCCTAGACGATCCTGATTCCATTTTACCGTCTCCTGAAAGGAGAAGGCTTGGTTAGCCTGAGCGGCAGCCGATCAGGGGACAATCCTTTGACCGAGTGCGTAGTGAGCGTGCTACTTGTCACCACGCCATCTCTGCCTCAAGCAACGTCCCATACCATCAAATATAAACTAGAAAACAAATTACTCCCAAAATGAAGTATAACCTAATCTCTCAAAGCAATTACAGTTTTCATTTCAACCAGTCATTACACTTTACCTCTAAAAAACTCTTTCAGATCGAGAAGATTCGCGAATCACGACCAGGGTCGCTGAAATCGGGCAGAAGTGGACGGCGGCCTCAGTTTCCAGACATTGAAAAACAATTATTTGCATTGTATTGCCAACGTGTAGAAAACGGGAGTAAAGTGGGGAACCGCTGGTTGAGGGAACGGGCACGAGAGCTGGCTGGAGATGTCAACGTAGCTTGTCAATTTTCAGAACGATGGTTGAGTAACTTCAAGAAACGTTTTCACATTAATCTTCAACGTGAAAACGATTCATCCACAGATTCTCATTCAATTCATTCCACATCAAGTGATAAGCAGGCGTATTCGGACACTGAAACTGATTCCTTCAACGATCCTAGTGAGCAAGAAGTTGGAATTCGTAATGAAGTTGTCGCTGAGATAGTGAACCAACCAGGACAGCTTCCTATCCAGGCATTCTATGAGAAATTTCCTTGGCTATGCAAGAAAGGAGTTCAGGTGGAAGCAGGACGACGTGGACGAAAAGTTCAGTTTCCAGACGTGGAACGAGTACTTTACGAGCGTCTCTTGGAAAAACAAAAAACCGGCGAGCGAATTTCGAATCGTTGGCTTCAAGATCAAGCCCGAGACCTGGCAGCAGAGCTGTGCCCTGGCATCTTGGAAGAAGCTGTAAAGTCATCACGATGTCTCTTCTCTGAACATTGGCTTCCATAACTTCAAAAAACGCTATGGAATCAGTCTCAAGTACAAATCCACTCCATTGGTGGATATTCCAGATAATATCGCTCTCTCGAAGCTCCCATCACCCACGTCCGCTGACGCAATCGATGCCAACCTAGCCGTTCTTCATCTTCAGGCGTGGTTTATGAACCAAAGCTATGTATCGCCCCCATTGTGGTCACCGGGTAACTCGTCCGATTGCACATTTTCATGATACTCAATTCCATTCCACCTATCCATCCGGGTTATAGTCACACAATGACAACAGTTCACTTCGTCAACAAACCTGTTACAATGGCCCTGTGATTTGTAAAACTTAGCCTGTGATACAATTTGCAATATATTTATGCAATAACACTTAGAATTGTATTTGTAGATATGTAGTTTCAGTTTATTCTACTCAATCAGGCGATAACATCGGTAATTCGTAGTAAATAAAAGTTTTTGTACGTCTGACCTCCTCTCATTACACATATGTAGAGGGGAGGATGCGACAAGACAATCGTAACACGCCAAGCTGGTGGGCGTGACGAGCGACGGCGTGCTCGATGAACGAGTTGTCTTGCTTCGCCGTTTGAGTTTTACGGAGGATTCAAATGGTTCTTCGTGCAAAACTAGGGCTGTCGTAATGGAGATGACGGTTTTGACGGTGCTAATGTAGTTGAAAGTGGCTGCGCTGTAAAATGAGTCCGCTGGGGGAGGGGGCGTCTTTCAAGACATCCGAGGTGCCAGCTCGCGCATGAACCCCGCGGAACATTTCCTACTTGGACGAACTAATATACTGCAAAAGGGAACATTGTCTCGACGAAAGAAACAGCGCAGACGATCAGAACCGCCATGAGCGCTATACTCCCGCAGCGTGCCCCCCC